TGCATTCAGTCACAACCATACAAAAATACCATTTGTAATAACATAACATAATATCACGCCTGTCACCCCTGAAGAGATAAGCAGAAGTGCATATACTACCACTGTACAATGTAACACCGACTTTTCACTATTTATGTTATGAGTCTCATGTGGGTTTACGTGTGAGCCTATAGCCCTATACCGGGGAAAATTCCAGACACAGTGCTACTACTGAGATTTTTTAAAAACACAGTAATACTTTGCCCGACCCGGGAATCGAACCCGAAACCTTTCTCGGCATTCGCACTTGCGACCACTCGTCCAATGAGGTAGATATTGTAACATAGTAACTCCTTACTTAAATCTACTTCTAGTCTTTACATCCATTTCCAATTTACTGTCTCCAAGGGACTTTCTTAGTTGCAACAACTCTGTCTGAACAGTTCAAGCCATTAAGTACCAACGTAAATACGAATTACATAGATTTAATTAAAACTAACTGCTTGACGGCGAGTCGTTATAATCCAGAAGCACTGGACGGCAATGAATAAATATAAAGACGGATAATTAAAATTTAAACCCTAAGATCTTGGTTTAAATAAGGTTTAAAATAGTTTTCTCAGCTGCTTTAAATTATTCCTAAGATTAGTGATAAGATTTGAGTTGAAATAGTTATTGTCTAGTTGGTTTAAGGGTTGGGTTCATTAAATAATTTGTTGTAGACTTTTCTTCTTGAAATACTCTGTAGTGACATGAAGTCTGGATTCGTGAATTGGGTAAAAGTTGATAAACTATTTTTGGGGTAATACTAGACGTAATTTGGTTTCCAAAGAGAATGAAGATTTGATATTTCAGGCACTACAGTGGATATTAATCTTACTGTTATTCTAGACTAGTTTTATGAATATCAGTCCGAATTTCTGGGCAAATTTTGCCATCCGAAATTTTAGAAAAATTTGTCCGAATCCTAAAAGTTACATAACATAACATCACGCCTTTTATCCCCGAAGGGGTAGGGAAAGGTGCGTTTAATGCCACTGTACAATGTAACACCCGCTTTTTAAGTATTATTTATGTCAATGGAATAGGGGCTGAGCCTATTGTTATATACCGGCCACAATTTCAGACTCCGTGCTACAACTGAGAATTTTTTTAAAAGAAGGTCTTTGCCCGACCCGGGAATCGAACCTGAGACCCCTTGCACGACTGTCGCACTGCGACCACTCGGCCAACGACGCAGTCCTAAAAATTACAATGAAATTTGAACGAGCGTCTCAGAAAGCACCAGAAAATGAATGCCTATAACATCCAACACTCAATTGTAAACAGCTCCTCAACAACGATCACTTAACAAATGGAAGTCACAACTCACAGAAACAATTAGTGAAATTGGGCGAGAAAGAGCATTGTTTTTTAAGTCTATTAATATTAGTCTTCGCCGGACAAAATAAACCAATATTGCGGTGGACACGGGCTGAAACAATAGCTCTCTGTCACTACGACGGAGACAAATAGACCCGGAGGGGAAATAACCGTGATCTGGAGCAAGGCATTGCCAATAAATTTCTTTTTAAAACCCACTGAGCTGTTGTGCCCGTTAATTCTTAGTTCGACCTTAACACCTGTAACACTTTACGACACTCATGCTGGTAACAACAGTCAAGTAGTTTGAACTTGTTGTTTAGTGACTAAATTTTATTGTAGCATTAACGTTTTCAATTTATTGGTTGGGAAACGTTTAGGAGTGGGCACTAATGAGTTGAGTGAGTTCCCTAATGTGTACGGTTCGACCAATCGACCTTTAATTACGTTTACTCTTCAGGATTTACCAGTCAAACATTGCGCATAGACAAGTATTATCGGACAAAATTCAAGTTATTTTTGAACTGGTTTTTAACTAGTCCACCTAAGTATAGCTAGAATGACCTTTGGCAATAAACCAGGTACTGTTCTTGGTCAAGAATCGATATTCAGTTGTCATATTCACATAACATAAGTGTGGGAGAGCCATGCTTCAGCACGAATGGGCCGGCTCGGTCGGAGTGATACCACGGCCTCACAGAAAACCGACGTGAAGCAACGCTTGCGATGTGTTTCGTCGTGTGAGTCTCTCCAATCTCCCCAATATCCCCAATTCCTGAATCCCCTACGATCCTCAAACTCCTAATCCCTTAAAGGCCGGTAACGCACTTGTAACGCCTCTGATGGTCCAGGTGTCCATGGGCGACGCCGATTGCTTACCATCAGGTGATCCGTCGGCTCGTTTACCGGCTTATGCCATAAAAAAAAAATATTCAATTTCCAATAAAGACTTGTAAGTAATTCAAGCCGCACGAGAAAAATAGGTGTAATATTTTGTATTTGTGATTCACATGATATTTTCATTTCTTTCCAATATTGTTACAGCGAAGGATATTAGGTGTCGAATTTTTTCGTATTCAGAAAGTGTTCATAATTGGCCAAATGTTAGGTATGAAACACACAAAGATATATTATTAACTTGTATGTTTGTAAATGCACCCGCGATACAGAAAAGAATTCTAGTGTGACCTAACGTTTAGAAAAAGACCTTTAAAACATTTTAGCACATAATTTAATAGACTATGAATCCACAGTTTTGCTGATAAAGTAATGAAAAAAATAAATTCTACTATTGTTATCGTAACAAAATTTGATGCTCCCAAATATGCACAAAAAAGATACCAAAGATACAAACGGTCCAGATAAGCAATTGGAAGTGTAAACTTGGACAGTCAAAGGCCAAGCAAATGTTTCTCGTCTTTGTCTGTCTTTGACGTCCAATCTGCCCTGTGTGCTTCACGCTTTACATCAGCAGAGCATTCCGTCTGATTTCCATTACACAGTTGATATTTTCCATCAAAATGATCACGTACTTGCCTATCGCACGTCTCCTTATTATATACATGTTCTAAAAATATGTTGTCGATTCATTCCTTTACAAAAAGTCGTATTTTTCTCTCGTTTCATTTGTGTAACAACTTTCTTCTCGCAATTACACCTTCGTTCGGATTCATTAGTGTGCATAAAATGCCAGTGTTGCCACGCGCAACCTACTTCCGTACGTGGCGCGTGGGTCGTTGTAAATATTTGCACAATATCAAGGGTTGCCAGCAATATAGCGCTATAAAGAAACGTCAAGTTGTAATTATGAATGAGTCGGGTAAAGGAATAAATGTCAAATCTATCAGTGAATATGTTATAAGTAACAATAATAATGGAGCGGTCAAACGATAAGGTCAAAGTTGACGATAGAATTGAGTTAGGCGCGAAAGGATGATTCTTCGTGTCACCTACGTGTATGTATACATACATGCATAGGTAGATGAGATTTTAACTTGTTAATTAAATACGAATGATTTTCGACATTGACATTTTTATGACATTTTATATGCACGAGATAAATGTGAGTACTTACAATCTTATTTGCCTTAGCACAAAAAACTTTTGCATAAAATACTCAACCAAAATATTTTCAGTAGGTGGCTTTATGTCTCTACACATCCCTTATTAAATGCGCGCCCCTCACATTAAAGCTAAATTTCCTTTGAACGCAGGTAAAAATCTACAATAAAGAGGTTTATCGCTTAACGGGCAACAGGGTAAATTGACAGAGTGATCCTGTCTGTACGCGCCCTAATGAGAGGCTGTGTGGGCCGATATATTCAATTAAATCTATCCGATACACCACTATACTAATTAATAGTATTTAAATATCAATATAAAAGAGACGATAATTCGTTTTTCAAAAAACCAATATACTAATGTAATACTGTTTGGTTTGATAAAGTGGAAATGTAATGAGTTACTTTTTATATTACAGACAAATAAATGTTGATAAAAATTGAGTTTAGGTAATGTGGGTACATTTTAAATAATCAGGCCCGTTACCCTATGCCTTATTGAAATTGGAAACAGTTATTTGAAATAATAATTAAAATTTTATTTAACCAATAGAGGAAAGCATAGTTTTTTCTTCTTCTCCTCTTAAAATATCTTCTGATTCACTTCGTTGCGGGAACCAAGACAGTTACTCATGTCTCTGGGACGCGCCGGACTTCAGTGTTCCGGTGTTTTCATGGTTGTATCTACTGTAAATCCTGGCTTACAGAAGTTGCAGCGGTTTTGGGAGGTTGTGGCGGGCTTGTCTCATTAAAAAAACCAATAGATGGTTACAGGTGTACCCTAAAACTGCGACCAACCACCAAGGCTGAATCCTTCATATTTTTTACACCTGAATGAATATAACAAAACCAATTTTGAGAAGGAGATCTTTGCTCTCCGCTGAACATTTCAGACTGATAATGATGATGATGATGAACCAACAAATAAATAAACATATCAATAACATAAATAATTATCAGGTACCAAATACAAGATAATATTTATGTACATACAATATGACCCAACTAGGGGCACGTGCAAAAATGCTCAAAGTATTACTTCCGACCGGTTTTACGTACTTCAGATAAATGTATTTCCGTTATCGTTTCCTTATCCGGAGTCCACACGTGGACAAAGTACCGCCAAGTATATTATGATGGTCATATTTTTTCATAGTACTATGTAAACTATGGTTTATGCCAACAAATAAGGCCGTTGATTGTTTTTCCAGTAGCCTGATTCACGTAAAATCAAACAGTTGAAGTTTTATAGTCGCTCGATCATAGTTCGATCGAAGTCCTATCCGAAATCAGTATTCACGTGTTCTATAATCGGAGTTGGATAGGACGACAATTAAACTGACTCGAAACTAAACGACAACTAAACGATTCATCAACGTTTCATTGCCAGTTAAACAATTATGTATTCTACCAGAATATTAAAATACAGATTTAAGTTTTAAAAAATCTGATTTACATCATAACAATAAAATAAATGGAATTAAAAACAATATTAATAAACATTTAATGTAAATTGTTGAATAAAATATAATTTCACCACTAAACCACGGTTTAAAAAGGAAAGTCTATAATTTGTCTCTGCATTACCTACTTGTCAAATAACTGTCTATCACCGGCAAAATTTGAAAATTTTAAATAAAATTAAAATGAAGCAAGTTTCTGTAAGACAGCTAGAACTTTTGGTAGATTTTATGGAGAAACATAGAATGTTGGCACTGGGACGGGTCCGAGGCAAAGAAGGGCATATTTTGTCCACTAAATTGTGGACCGAGCTAGCGGCAATATTGAACAGCGAAACAGCAGACCCTTCCATGTACAGGTCAGCGAAAGAATGGAATAAAGTAAGTACACTTCTTGCATAGCATGTAGAGGTAATTAACGCGAAATACCATACCATTGAAATAATACCTCTATGTTGGTTTTGTTCTCAGTTTTATAATGACTATAAATGTCGAATAAAAAACAAATTTCGTAAAATCGGACGAAACCAAAGGAAAACAGGTGGTGGACCTTCAGAAGCTCAGCCGTTATCGGAACTGGAAGAAAGACTTTGTTCCATATTAGGGAACAAATTTGACGGCCTTCCAGTCCGACAAAATCCCATACCCACCTCAGAAACTGAGGATATAATTATTCCATTGTGAGTATCTATCTACCTCTAAGCAATAATGAGCAAAAAATAAGCTCACCTAACTCATGATAATGTAATTTTTCTTACCTGTGTATTAATTATTTTGTTGCAGAGATCACACAAATATTACAGGAGATTCTCACATTAATTTTGATGTGGAGACTTTAGAAATTATGGACAGTGAGACTCCATTAAGAGTTGAGTAAGTATTTTAAGTTGTACATAATATAGTTAATAATTAAAATATTGAACTACCTACTTATTAAGAAATAATTTATTCAACATAATACATATCTTCAGAACATAAAAATAAATTCTAACACTTTGATTTTTTAGGAATGAGAATACTACAATTGATGACATCCAGCCATCAACTTCTTCAAGTTTTAATGTGCCTGTAGACAAAGCTAAGTAAGTTACACAATCTTAATATAATTATTAATAATAAAATATTGAACTAGGTACTATTGTGTTAATTTAACGCAATTTATTTTTCCAGAACTGAAACATTAAATAGTAATAGGAGTTTCCGCAATAATATAAAAAAGGGTAAAAGCCAGAGAATATCTGGGAGGGACCCTAAAGGTACAGATACACCTTGTTTATTGATGTATAAACAAATTCAAATAATATGATTTGTTAAAAACATTGTAATATTACTTTCAGATACAGAAGTAGAAAAGGCGAAAACTGTTTTAGCCAATTTAGAAAAAGCTCGACTAGAATTAAACAAGTCACAAATACAGGTCCAGCTTGAGCGAAATGAAATTGAAAAGAACAAGGTTAACGCCATAAATAATTTGGCCAGTGCAGCTTGGGCCTTAGTTAATATTTTCAAGGGTGGCCAAGAGGGAAATGTAAGTAAACAAAAATTACATTGTGATAATAAAAATTCGGGTTGTTGGAGCAGTCCGACAATTGATCTAGCTGCATTGCTTCGGCATTGCCTTTGACCGCGATGAATAATATCGAAGTGTGTAGATTAACGCTAAGATGATGATGAATTAAAAATAAGACACAGTTATAAACATAATATTAATATTTAATGCAAATTAAAAATTTTTGAATCTTTACAGAAAAGAAAATGTGATGACAAACAAGAACAAGAACACAAACGGGCTCGATCTCAGAGCAGTGATGACGATGACCATAGTTTTGTATTTTAAAACAAAATCGCACTACTGGTTTATTTAATAAGTATCATAATTGTTAATTAGACTGATTACATTATATTTATAATTAGATTAATAAGCTTTTTTTTATTAAATATAAAGTATGTAATAATATATGTTTTATTCTTTCTCTGTGTGTCCTTGTGATTGGAAAAACTACATGCTTTCGAAAAACCCTGGGTGAATTGAGAGCATGCGTCACCTGTTTAATTGCTCTTGAGACCGTAGGTTGAGAAACACCACTATATGCACTCTGGCCAACAAGAGTCTGATAGGAACCAGATGCGAAAAATGATAAGGCGAGCAGTAACTGAAAAAAAAAATTAGATTCAAAGCAGATAATCGTAATGAGATAAAATTTAAGTGTAAAAAGCACACAAGTTGAGACAAACCTTTTCTTTCACTGATAAACCATCTTGCCATCGATTTCTCTCTATTAGAGGTGTAATATCCTCAATAATATCGTGGACAAGGATCTTAGAAAGGCGAAATGTCTTTATAAAATCTCTGTCTGCCATTTCAAAGGCATCCTATCTAGAACACCTCAGTCTGTTTCTCCTTACTCGCTCCATTCGTCTATCTTCTCTTTCAGCTGCATCTAATAATAACAGGCCGAGCCCGAGACTCATTTTTTTGTTTAATCACTGGAGTTTTTGTACCGAAAATCCCCAAAATTCGTTCGTATAAAATTAAATTAATAGCTGAGTTACAATGAAGTCAAAACAAACGTACTTCTGTTCAGCGACACTTCAACGACATTTCAACCGTCAGATTTGACGTTTAGTCGTTGATAGCCGATCCATTCCAACATCGTTTGTTTACGTGAATACCACAGTATTAATGATTGAAAGACGATTTACATAGCTGAATACGCTTCAACGACACTTCGATCGAACGACTTCAAAATCGGTGTCGATCGAACTCGACTGATGTATGTGAATACGAAAAGGACTTAAACGATTAAGTCGCTACGATATCGCTACGGTTTTTATTACGTGAATCGGGCTGCAGGTCAGTAAATACAATTCTATGAGAACAATTGTTGTTCCTTGTAAATTAAGAAAATGGTTGGTCTAGAAAAATTGTGTCCAGGATAATATAGTCTGTGTAATTTGTAACGTCTAAAAGACTTTACACTCTAACTGTAGGGCAGATGGTTGAAATTAGCTTGAACCCAAATTATAAATGCATAAATATCACTTTGAGTGTTTGTGTGTATATTTGTGACTCAGCCACATCAAAACGGCTGAAGGGACCGAGATGAAATTAGGAATAGAGGTAGATTATGTTGTGAAGTAAAATATAGACTACTTTTTAATTCTGGGAACTCGGGCGAAGTGTAGGAATATCAGCAATAAAGCAAGTATTTTAATATAATCATGTAATTTATTCACTAAAGACGGACTATTACAATGCAGTTTTGTAAGAGAAGAAGGTAGCGCCGCGCAGCGGCAAAAATGCAAAAAAAAACTACAACACGTTCAAGATCACAAATTTATATATGGTTGCGTTCAATTCCTAACACGAAGTCACTGGCAGAAGCTAGTTTATTTATGTATGAACATGGACTAAGTAGGCCCAAAGGACCAGTACGATAAAAGTGCACACCTTATTTATTCCTTAAGGTACACAGTTAGTAATTTAATTAGTAGTAAAAACTGAAAAAAACCAGTGAATAAGTAAGTAAATAAGATAATTATTTTTTGCGTAAAACATGGTATATATTGGTGTTAATAATTACAGTAGCTCAACATGTTTCGCTAAAATAAAAACATGCAAAAGTTTGTTATATTGACAGAAGTAAACAGGCAATTAATATTTCACATTCGTAAAATCACATAAACTAGCTATAAAAGTTACACTCATTGAGCCACTTGTTTAATTCGATCTTAAATCTCCTTGTTCATTACTTTAAAGCGACTTGGTATTTTGTTATAAATAAGGTAGACTGCACGGTTGGTGCGGTGGCTGGGCAATGTGTATGGTTGTGCGCGATATTCTCGCGATTAGTTGAACCGAATTTGATACGGTTTTCAAATAGGAAAGAAGAAGAAGAGGATAAATAGGAAGATAGAAGATTTCAAAATATTAAATAACCGATTAAAAAAGAGGGGTTGAAGTCAGTTTTATTAAACGTAGTTTATAAAAGAATTATTTGTAGTGTTATACTTCAAAGACCTTTCTATGAACCTTAATCTGGTCTAGAATATCATTTACAATATTCTGTTTTAGTACAAAAATGTTCACTAATATTATTATCTTAATGCTTTCCGCTTGGATTTCTTTGTTCACTTCGTCATAAATCGTATTCAACGTTGTAGTTTTAAGATGGCTCTCTTTTATTTCAAAAGACAATTTCAGCATAAAACCTAGCTTGGTACCCTAGATAGTGGGAATAGTGCGCAAAGTTTTAAATACTATCATTTTGCGAAGCAGTCATGCTGGTAAGGAGGATGCGGGGCGCGTGAGGACACCCCGGGCGGTCGGGGATCGCGAGACGATCTCCGGTCACCTTAAGCACGGGCCTGCGGACGGCGAGCATGGGTAGCTCGCCGCCCGATAAGAACTAGACTCGAGCGAACGGCGCCTCGCGTTCCGCGCGCGCCCGAAAGAGCTATAGGACCACCACGGATAGGTCTCAATTGAACTGATGCATACAGAGCCACGAAGAACGTAAAAGGTTACCGGAGCTCCTGCTCGAAGTGCAGGAGTAGAAACGGGGTGGTTTTTAGTCAGTAAGAGTCTGACACTCCCTCCCGCCTCAACCAGGCGGGAGAAGTCATTCGATGACTTTCCCCCTTAAAAGTCGTTTTCGGAACAAAATCGTTACATTATTATACGGAATTAAATGTTTCTGAATACGGTAGTAAGATTAAGTAATAAATTGGTAATATCTTTTTAACCGACTTCAAAAAAGGAGGTGTTAGTATGTATGTATGTATGTATGTATGTATGTATGTATGTATGTATGTATGTATGTATGTATGTATGTATGTATGTATGTATGTATGTATGTATGTATGTATGTATGTATGTATGTATGTATGTATGTGCGCGACACTTTTCTGAAAACTGCATCTAATTCGGTTTGGCTGCACCGGTTTTCAGAAAAGTATTTATTAAACTTAGGAGAAGGTTTTATTATATTAATTAACCGACTTCAAAAATAAGAGAGGTTTGAAGTCGTTTTTTTTAAAAGTAGTTTATGCCAAGAATTATTCGATCTGTGAATTCTATGTCACACTTCTTTACCTTATGTTATATAAATAATATGAGATTAATACTTATCTTTATCGTACATTTTATACGCAACAAAATAAGTGTAATTTTAAACTTACTCGACTACTTTATTACAATGTCAAAAGTTAGCATAGCAGCCTGCCTTACAAATACTTCATCCGCATTCCCACAGGAATTGTACAGAATATTCTTGCTAACACATAAATATTTAAAGAATGTCCAAATATAGCTTTGTCTCCGTAGCCACTTAAGCACGTCTGAATATTCAAAATCGATGTTTTTATTGTGACTCAAGCACAGAAGTTTCAAAGAGGAGAAAGTAATTTGTCTTAGAGTCAAATTATCCTGACGTAGAGTTCAAAGCTCTCCAAAGTGAATTTTGTTCATTATCATCGCTAAAAATAGCATCCAAATTTTTTGTCTCACTAGTTGCTACATTAAGTCATTAAGGTCCAGAATGCTGTGCAAATAATCTAATTGCCTGTATTTTGTGAACTTTTGCTCTCGTAAATTATTCTTCAGTAACTAAACAGTTAACGACTTAACGAACTGTGACTGTAGATATTATTGTTTCATTTTTTCTAAAAAAATCGTTTTTATGAAACGAATTCAAGTACAATATCTAAAGCATTTCATGTTAGTTCAAGTGAATCGCTAATGTTGAAAAGAAATCGGTCTTTTATCGTTCCGAAGGACCAAAGTTTAATTATCATTATGAGGAAATACTTGACATTCAGATTCGATTCGATGTTTTTCGAAGACAAATAAATCTCATAAAATATATCCTGGCAATTCTTTATTTCGTTCGGAAGTAAGCCTTGTAATCGTTTTCCCAAAAATATCGAGCAAGCTAATAAAAAGTAATTGAAAAACTTTTCGATAGTTAATAGTCATTGTTCTCAAACACCCATAAACTAATACCAGGCAAAACTTGAAAGCCAAATTATAGTTCTAAAGTTTGAAATACCTAGAAATTTTTCACTGGAACTATATTAGCAAAATGTTCTTATTCGACCTGGAAGTGACGCTAATAGTAGCCATTAAAAGACCCCGCCGACGCGGGAAGAGTTCAGAAAGTATTATTTATTATAGTAACACTTCTTTTTGGGATCTCTAGCTTTTTGTGTAATAGAATAAGTATCAAATTATTTCAGAACTTCATAATATTATTATTAAAGTATCAGGATCAACTTTTATTAGTAGTTGTTTGTTGTATTTTATGCTTTATTTCTCCCTCATCGTGGTCCTAAAATCACATAACGAATATGACCCATTGATTAATTTCAAATCTTAGTTGTAATATAAAACATGTTGCATAAATTCACGAGGAAAATGCCTTGATTATCTCCCAGTGTAGAACCATTATCCGTGTCACATAATCAGGATACTTGTACCCTTTGTAGACCTATCACCCTTCTATAAGAGATAGCTGGTTAAATAAGGGGGAGTTTCGATGTCATGTGTACTTTACACTTGACGTATCCCCTGACGTGTGGTGTACAGCCAACGTGGCGTCCATGACAGGTGATTGTGACGTCACAAAGATTGGCTCACGAGAAATAGAAAGGATCCCGATATTTATAGAGCGAGAAACGATAGGGGCATTGTTTTATCAATGGCAGTTGAAATATAAAAGAATTGAAAATGGGAAATTCGATGGGTGAAATTTACGCGTCTCAGAAATTTCAAATAACGATTTGACTAAAAATATTACGATTTCGTTAAGATCTTGTTTGTTGTCAATGCCTAAAAGTGAAACATAACAAATAAATAAAAAATGATGGTTGAGTATTTTGTCATAATATCGGGCACAATTTCAAACTCAACATTAAAAATTAAAAATATCGAATGTAACTCTTTCTTGAATTGAAGCTAAAATTATTTGCTTTTCTTGCAAGCAACGACCAAAATAGTAATCAGGGAGCAATAAAAGACGAAAGTATTAATAATATTGATAGCTCAATCTTGCTTTTACTAATAAAATGTTCACTCTCAGTTCTCCAGTTTTCGCAATTTAATTGAGTTATTAGAACCGTATAAAGCAAAATATTAAAGTTATCGGCGATCGGAAGCGGTCTCGTAAATTCTGCTGCCATTTTTGTGACGATCGCTCAACTATAAGTTAGTTACGACTGTCGATCGTGCACAGCATTGAATTTGACTGGAGTATTATTCAATTATAGTTTTCCAATGGTTTTTAGTGGGACTTTCGGTTCTTATTTTTTTTAGTATTGTGACCATTTTTCTACATAATTATCAATTTATATATATCCTCTTATTACATCATCATTGGTGGCCCGGAGGTTTAAGACGCCCGCTTCTCATGCATGAGGGTGCGAGTTCGAAACCTACCAACGGTAAGTACCAATGTGATTTTTTTCGAGTTATATGTACTTACTTTCTAAGATTATTTAGACACCACTGACAAACGGTGAAGGAAAACATCGCGAGGAAACCTGGGCTTATAATCTCTAATTATAAGTTTGTAATCGCCAATCCGCATTGAGCAAGCGTGGTATAAATGCTCAAACCTTCTCCGTGTGAGAAGAGGCCTTTGCTCAGCAGTGGGTATTTATAGGCTGTTGATGATGATGATATTATATCCAAGGATGCTGCAAAAAACAGGCGGACATAGTCTCTTGAAACAACGACTGTGGCACCTTTTTTCTTTTTTTGATGACGGGGGGAAACCTTCAAAAGGCGCCCAGCCTTTTTGGGGATAAAAGACTAGGGAGTGTGGGATTTTTACCTCACTAAAACCACCCCGGTGACCACCCTCAACACCTGAATAGAGGCACCGGGTCCTCGAAAAGAGACCTGCTCCGGCGCCTCCACTGTGCAACGCCTGTTACGACACATCCCTAGGGAGACGGGTGTCTCCTTTGAGCCTTGCTGTGTACGGCGGCACGTGCCACCGTCTTCCCTGAGACCACAGGGTGGGCACCTGGAGTCCCCACTCTACGTACCCGTGGCCCCAAAGGTCCGCCTGAAGTTTATGCAGGCGGGATTTCGGCGTGTTAGGCGTCAAGGTGGTTACCTCCTCGACGCCTTCTACGAGCAGGATCGGCCCTCTCGCGACCCCGCTCACCAGCTTCCTTTTGGGACATTACTGTCTCACAAAAGGAGGCTACTTCCCTCCAATTTTCTGTATCTGCCAGCATAGCCTTAACTACCGCTGGCAGAGACAGGTCTCGCCCGATCTTGGCAACCAGGACGCGCCGCTCAGAGGCCCATGCTGAGCATTCTTCGAGCGTGTGCTGTGCGGAATCCAGGTCATCCCCGCAGTGGTGGCAATTTGTCGTGGCCTCTCGCCCAATCCTATTTAGGTACTCACCAAAGCAACCGTGACCGGTCAGCACCTGAGTAAGCCTGAAGGAGACGCGCTCCTCTCTCTTCAGCCAGTGTGGCACCTGGCTACTATAGACTTACACGGAGAATATACATACATTTAGATGAAGGAAATCTGTCGCGTGACATGGCCGGTCATTGCACTTCATACATTACGGTGTTGCAAGTAAATAAGCCACTAATATTTTGGTGCTTCAAATTTTCTCAGTGATATAACGTCGACTTTTATCGACGTCCTTGATTTCATCTTGTAAAATTCCAATCTCTAGAAGTGATTATACAAGTCTGTCCATTGTAACTTTAGGTCGTCAATTAGTGGTTTAATCTCGATCAACGTTGTAAACACTGTGTGCTGGTACCTCCATCTCTTTATTTGTAATATTCAAATGAAAAGAAACTCTCAGGAATATTTTTGAAATTGCCTTTTTGGCGACTTTTTTGCTTCTTATCATACCCATTGTGGCCAACTGTTTCTTATTCACGTTTCCGAAGCATTTTTCAGTTTTGATATTACAATTTTCGGCTCGAATTTTAGAGTATGATAAAATATACGTCTCTTTATTTGAAATACCATTTAATGGCTTTTTATTTTAATAGCAGTATTAACGAAGTGAGTATCGCCGTTTTGTGACGTAACATTATTTAAATGGTACAGACCGGTGAATAATCTGATGGACGCGAAACATTTTAATTATGAGCCGTGACTACCATGATATTCACTTCATAGGTACTAAAATTCAGTGAGTTGTGATTTTAATAAATCCATCATTGCCAAGTTTATTCTAATCAGCTTTTAATCAAAAAACAAAAACACGCAACAAAGTATTTAGGGTTCCAAAAAGTGGGCTTAGGAAATCCGCCTCGTATTCAAGAGGTCCTTTATAAAAAGCACAATGCTAACATTGTACGCTTTCCACGATTCGAAATGAATAATGACGTTTCACCGAATGCCCCGTGAAAGTGATAAATTGCTTTATAATTTCGTCGGACTCTCATTATAGGCTCTATCATGATGATGCGTTGTTATTGTTTGTGAGTAAAGGATGAGGGTTGTTCTGATTGTGTCCCACTGTTGTGCAATGGGTTTGTTTCCTTAAATCATCCTATTTTTTATTGTGTGGTTCAGGTGGGTTTACCACATAAAAGTACATTTGATTTACCTCATTCAGTTTTGATGTTTTTAATAAGCCTTGTCTAGTAATCTTCGTCTAGCCAGGAATATGTAAAAAGGATATTTGTTTTTTATTTCCAAAGAGCATATTATTGAATTTTCAGAAGGTATTGCTGCTTTCTTTGGTGGAAATAGTCATGGTCATGGCCGATCGATGGTGTTAATCCTAGTTTACTTGTATGCTAAATAAAGTACTCAATAAAGTACTGAATATGTGATATAGGTAAATATTCACACAGGAACACAAAACTTTACTTTGTAATACTTACGAGTTGGCATATAAGTGGTATTTTCCCAAAAAACATGTTAATAAAGAAAACGTGATCTGCTCAAAAGTAATTGCATTTTTAATAAGCTTCTCAAAAACTTATTTTTACAGATTTCTGAACCGAGACTTTTAATTGCATCTTCCTTAATCTTTTTCGTTTACTTTTTCTAGATTCAAGCTTGAATATTTCTTACTAATTAGTGTTCCTGTTAGGTATTTGCAGAATATCTGGTTTAACGAAACGATAATAATAATTATGAAATGGACCTTTTGGTACTATAATTTTGGATAATAAGAGAATAACTATGTAGAAAAACAGCCCGGTTGCCTTATTTACTTTAGCTAAATAAAAAAACACAATCTTTTTTTCCTAACAACTTAAATTATACTTGCTAGAATGTCAGAACCGGTCAATTGTTCAGTACCTAAGTGAACGTTGAAATTACGAGTCTAGGTAAAGAACGTTCTAGAATAAAAGAGTACGGTAACAAAATAAATACAATTGCCAATTTACCAACGCCAATTCCACATAAAGTTGAAATGGGGGAAACATGTGAAAAGGTACGGATTGTAAGTAAATTCACCCACTAAATATTTAGGCTACGTTCTTCTAGGCAATATTAAATTCTCTTGGAGACGTTGGATATTTATTTGCATATTTTTTCGTTGTAAAACCTCTTTTCGTTTTGTTCTAGTTGGGGAACAAGGGTTAGGCTATTTGCTTAGTGTCTCAAGGTCATCAATCAAGTTGGGCTTTCAATAAGTTTGTTTAATACAATTATTGAAAAGTATTTACTGTATAATAGGTAACAAACATAAGCGATGTTTGGTATTCTTGAACCGTCTAAACTGTGGTCCAACGTGAATGCCTACCGTGCTGATAAAGACAAACTCTCTTAGATATGTAGATCAGGCTCAAGTCTTGGAGTGACTTACCACGGATTGTAGATGAGATTGGAAAAGGAATATCATTAGTTGAAAATTGTATGTACTAGCTTGTAGCTAGCTTCGCTCGTGACTTCGTATGCGGAATCCCGGTATTTCCCGTTCCTTTAGGATTTTTGGGAATTATTTTGTACATGTCCTGGTTCTAAGCTACCTTTCTACCAATTTTTAGTCAAATAAAATTAGTCTTTCTTGATTATAAATAGTGTAACTTTATTCTGGTATCTGCTAAATTTATTCTGGTTCAAAATGTTCATTTTCCCACCCCATTGAAGCTCGTTACATATTCTGCAAGGTTGCATGTTACCTAGCCATCGCATAGTCTGTTGAACACTACTTTATCAGGAGTTAATGGTTCTTATAAGGCGTAGATAGTCTAGAATTTTTATGTTATCAAGAATTTTTATTGTTCTACAATAAATTCTTTTACGTTTGAATTTTAAAGATTTCATAATTTCAAAAAAATGGCGTCAAAATACTTCTTCAACATACATACCTCGTTCAGCTCCTATATTTTTTTTATAAATACCTAAATTATAAATAAAAGTCTCTCTTGCAAAACTGTACTCTAACGTACCTAGGTACTTATCAGCACACTAAGGTATGCTGCCGACACCCACAGTGGCACGCTTCGCCGATGTGAAGGTTTAGCACGTGGCAGTATTCTTGATACGCCCACTCACATGGGAACAAGTGTATAGAGTTTACGTAAACTCTTTAAATAAAACCGTCTTATCTGCTTTGCAAGGTTTTGTTTGTAGTCATTTGCTATACGTTTAACAGAAGCAGATAAATGTAAATATTAAATACATATCATATATGTCTAACAAATTATGAACTACTGAAGTGTGGGAGAGCCATGCTTCGGCACTAAGCATGGCTTTGCCATTGACATAGTCTATGCGAGTATAGCTTTTTTATTTAAATAATAAGAAACTGAAGTGTAATGACGGAATAACCAAAAGCTAATTGGATTCAATCATTACGCCTAGCGCCTCTTCGACTCGAAAAACGAGAAGTAGAAAGAAATATTTTCCAAATGACAGAATCACATTTATTTCATATTTCAACCATTTCTATTGTCGTTCGCATAATGCATGAGTTTTCGGGAAAGCATTGTCCGCACCAACAGACCCGGGTTGCATTCCGCCATTTGTAAATTCCTGCTTGACGCAATTTGGCATAATGCCCGCCAGAGGTATTGTTCTTGTTGAAAGGAGAGCTAGGTGTGTCATGGCTGGAGATTTACTACGTTATTAATTCCTCGCATATAATATGCTGATAAAATAATATTTCAAAAACGTTTTATTAGCTATTGAACCTCATAGTACATTTTTATACGCATTTAAAACAAAGAGGTTGCAGTGCGACAAGAACTTGTTTTGAATAGAAAAGTTCTTATAGTGTTCAAGATGTTTTTCTTAACAGAACCGATATTATATTTTGTAAACAATTTAATATTGTGTCCTTAATTACTTCTAGTGTTCAGCAGACTGAGATCTAATCTATATACTTTCAAGGGTAATTATTAGATAATCGATTACCGCTGTGGATAGTGAAGCTTTTTACTAAAGAAAATTAAAAATAAAGAAAAATGTTTCTTAATTTTACAAAGTAAGAATACAAATCCCTTCTCAAAATGAGGTGGTTAAACACCTTTCATTCTAAATGAACATCTAGAAATAAGTGTGGGAGAGTCATGCTTCGGCACGAATGGGCCGGCTCGACCGAAGTGATACCACGGTCTCACAGAAAACCACAAAGAATTCGTACCAAATATCAGCAATTAACAGAAATTGCACAATCATCATGTTCTGTCTTTAAGCATACAACCTTTTCCATTTATCGAATGATATGACTTTGTAAGTAAGCGGACTGGTGGTTGCATTCCAAACCACTGTCGTGTGGCTATGGTCAAATAGCCACGTCGAGTAATGAATGCACCGCTTTATCTCAGCGCTTCAGCCTGGATTTATTCCCAAATGCGAGGGACAGGATGAAAGGTCTTATTTTTACGTTATTGTCACCATTTTGCGGTTTTCAAATTTCATATTTTATGTGGTCCTTTTTCTGTATTGTAGCTGGTCCTTCGGTTAAAACTAATTCTATGGTAATTAGTATGGTTGTTTAATAAATAAATATGTTCAGTAACATACACGATATTGTTTTTCATGAATATTTATGGCACGCATAAAATTAATCCGTCTGCGTTGTCACAGAACATATAGTACTGTTGATAAATATTTACAAGTGTCATAAAGGTCATTTATGTTTTAAAAACTGTTACTATGACGATCAAACTATCACAAATTTGCAAATATGTAATTTCTTGTCAGGTGGACGATTAGGCTAATGGATATTTTAGTATCGAATCTTCAAGTGGGACTCCGGAGATCCATAGTATTATAGTAGATGAGATTTTCTTGGTAGACGACAAAATTATGGTAATTGGAAAGATACTCAATAGTGTAGTTTAGTGTATCTACCTGTAGTCTGTACCCATGTTTTCCTAAAATTTTTAGGAGCTCCGGTTCCGGCTCCACTTGCGCTGCTCGGCTGCTTAAACATACCGCTTCTTTCGAAGCGATTACTGGCGGTACGGTGTGAGAATGCTGTTGTTGTAATGATTAATATTTCTGACAGAGAGTCCAAAAACTGTCTTTTTCAAGACAATGCCTACCAGAAGGTAGGCATGTTAGTGCGGCTACAAATTTTTATTTCTATGTAACATTAGTAAAATTTTGAGCGTTGATATTAAGAGTACAAAACATAATCTTCGTATGATCTAATCTGGGAATCATGACTTTTGACAATGTTTGTCTTATCGTATCATTTCGTTACCAAGTTTCCTAAATTTCCATTTTAAACAAGTTTATTACAAAAATTGTGTCACAAAAAATGTTATCGCAAAAATTATTCAAAACAGCCCAGAAATGAAAAGGTTAGATGTATTTTCAGTAATTCAGGCCACGTTCGGCCTGTTAAGTGCAGGTGTTGGGTATGCGTGGAAAAAAATGGCCGCCTCCACGTCGCTTTGTTTCCTTCGAGGCAGATTTACATCATAAATCCTTTTA